GACGGAATACCGACGGACTAAATGTTGGTCGGAAATCCGTCGGTAAGCCGTCGGAAAATTCCGACGGAAATATTGGCCGTCGGAATTTCCGTCGGAATAGTGACTGTTTTCTTGTAGTGGATACTCCATTGAAAACCATATTGTAGTGTTCCGGATCGAAAGGGTTTGAATCGAAAGGTTTTGAAAACCATACTCCACTTTGAAAAATGGACAAGCAATTGGATTATAGATCATTCTAGTATTTCACCAACGATCAAATATTTATTTATTTACACTTTCTAAAATAATTGTCAAGATGATGGCTCAAATCCTCCATTCCGTCTAGAACTCCTAATGTAGGACTAATTATTATATTTTAAATAATATCCAATATAGTCACAATGTCATTTTCTTTAGAATGAGTGATTTACGTCGATTCAAAATATTAGCATTCGAATAGTCATGGTTATAAAAAAACAAAAAAACAAAGCGCGAATATGAAGAATAGTCAGAAAATAACGATTTGGTTGTGTGAAGCAATAGAAGTAATAACAGAATAGTCTTTCGAGCCATAATGTGGTGTTGTCATAAATTGCATGTCACTAAATGTGGTCATTTTCTTCTAAACAACCAAAACAAAAAAAATTCTGCGATGAATGAAAAACAAATCATTATGTAAAGATTTATATAGATGTGTCGTCTAGTGAAAAGAAAAAATACAAGTGTCATCTACAACGAGATTTGTATTACTTTGTACTACATACGAAACCATGGTAATATTATGTCATGGGTTTAAAACAAAAGACTATTTTGACTGCTCAAATAGAAGTTGTTAGATAATTTTACATTTAGAGAAAATTGATTCATGATCTATGAGAACGCCACCATGCTCTGTTCCAAAATTTGTTTTGCATTTGGTTATCTACCAAACAAAAGTGGTTACATATGCGATCAGGATATGAGGTTTAATCTTATTGTTAAGATATCATTCAGATTCAACACCGTATAATGCATGTGGAAAAAGTTGATTTTATCGGCTTTTATTTATTATTAGTCAGTAAAGTAAATAATATAAAGTTAGTTAAAATATGTATACCAATTTTCTAATAATAAATATCATTCAGTTCATTTGATGTATGTTCTATATATAATTTTATAAAGATATCATTTCACTTACGCAAGAACTATTAAATAACAAAGTTAGCCCATTACTATACACGAATATAAATAGCAAAGATCTTTGCTTCGTGAAAATTACTCAACAACTCATTTTAATTGAATAAGATGGAATATTTTTCGATATTTGGTTTTGCTCTAGCATTGTCCTTGATCATTAGGGTTCGTGGAGCTATAAACATTGACATAAACCAAGAAGCAAGTTTCGATGAGAATTATGTCGTTACGTGGGGACAAGAACATGTCTTAAAACTCAACCAAGGCAAAGAAGTTCAACTCTCCATGGATCATTCTTCAGGTCCATTGA